CGGCGGCGTGGGTGGAGGGCGCGATGGTGCAGCCACCGGAAGCGATATTCTTCGTGCCCTCGTCCTCCGAGAACGACGAGAAGATGGGAAGCGGCGGGGGCGGCGTTGTCCACTAGGGAGAAGTGAGACAACTCTACCGCGTGACCCTAAACGGATGTCCGTTTTGTTCGGATTAGACTAAAGAAAACAAAAATCACAAAAATACATTTTAGAAAATACCCAACTTCCATAACCGCTCCCTTGAGTTGGGTTAGGGCCTCTCGATGCACTCGTTGTTGATCTGTGGAGGAGGCTCGATCTGGCATCCTCCTTTTTTCTTCAAGTAAGAAGTTGATGTTGCTTCCTCACACCTAGTCTCGTGTCTAGCCTCTAATCTAGCAACAAGTGCACTTGTCTCATTTACAGCCTCTATGCTAGCTAAAAATGCACGAACATGTACTAAATTTCGCTCTATCAATATATCGATGTACTCTTTTTTCCAATACCAAAACTTGCATCATTCTACACAACAAAATTTGAAGTTACCACAACTAGTCAAATCTAGAGCACAAACCGAAGCTAAAAAAACACATACCCCATCATTTAAGCACTTGATGAACACATATTCAGGATGTTCCGGCATTGTAGACACGCGGCGCACGACCATCCTTGGGTAGTGGTCGCATTTAATGAGTGGCAACGGTGCGCCGGCGAGCTTTTGGGCAAGCACCGAGCCCGGCCGAACGCCATTCGTGTATCTGCCGGCGGACCACCGACGGTGCAGATCCGAGCGGCTAGAGGAGGAGCCACTGCCTGCATGTGGCCTTGCGGCCCTGCCAGGGCCTTCCGGCGAGGTGCCCGGCCAGTCCATGGCGCGGCCCGGCCTCCCACAGCCGGCCGAGCTCAAAATCGACCGGATCCGCCCCAAAACCGGTTGGCGGGTGTGCAAACCAGGTGGCCGTGATTGGGTAGCTCGGCGGCGCCGAGGGGAAGGGGCTGGGTGAGCTCGCGTCCGAATTGCACGGCTGCAATGACAGTGGCGGCGGCGGCAGCGAGGGGAAGAGTGGAGGGGGTACGGCCGAAGGGAGGAAGGGGGCGGATAGAAAAAGGCCCGCCCTGTGCCACCGACGGGCGGGCCAGGGGAGGACACGTGCAGACGATGCGCGCGTCCGCGTGGTGTCCGTTTCACCCCAAAAGCGGCGCAAACTTGGGTCACAGATGGGTCAAAAGCGGATACAAAACGAACAAAAGTCTGTTTGCTTCCGCACGTTGGGCCGCCTTGTTTGTCCCTTTTACCCCAAACGGACGGAGCCAGATAGGATAGGGTCGCGCGATGGAGTTGCCCTGACAGAAAATGGGGAACAGGAAGGGAGATCCAGTTCGTGTGCCTTTTTTTAGTATCAGGGAGAGTACTTTTTTTTGAGAAAAAATAGAGAGAGAGTACGTGTTGTATGCTCTTTTTTGGAGATGAGAGTACGTGTTGTATGTGTGTGTGTCCGTCAAGTCCTTCTGCTTGGGCCAAGCTCAAAAATAATACAAAAAACAAATACAAATGAAATATAATTTTCCAACAAAAACGTGTATAAGAATATGTTATTTAAAAATAAAAATTACAGATTACAAAAACGTGTTTTTAACAAGAAAAATATAATCGATTGAAAGACTATTCCATGCACAACTAATCTTTCATCAGATGAAAGTACAGAGCTGAATTAGGTCTTGACAAACGCCGTTTAGGTGGCTTCTTCACGACCGAATTTTATGATCCAAAATGCTATGCTCATTATAACTTTATTTCGAACGTTAGCCAAAATTGGATATAAGAAGTATTGCATAACGCCACATAGAGCATGTTTAAATTTTTCACCCGTTGCAACGCACGGGCATTTGAACTAGTTGAGTACAATAAACGCTGCCCTGCAGCGAGGCCCGAATATAAGTTACAATCTTCTCAAATAATCTCTTCATCCATCTCCAAAATTATTCCTTTAAAAAGCGCAGGAGCAAGAACACAAGAAGAACACCGCCAAAGAGGGGCTCCAACCACCGTCGACCCCAAACCGGCCGCACCACCACCACCATCAGCCACCCACCACCGCCAACCAACCACATAAGCCGTCGGTTACCACCCACAGTCAATGTCTCCAAGACGACGCCTCCAAGGAGGTAGCGACGTACACGACGCCGTCGTCGCCCGATCCAGCAAACCAGATCATGGACTTTCGTCCGGAGACCCCGGACTCGAGGGATTTGGGTGAATTGGACTCCTCAGGAACGCGCCTACAGGAAGGAGAACGACACCAAAAAGCATCGCGCGTCACCGGCATCGACCGAGGTCTCTGCAAGGTTTTCACCCGGAGCCAAACACGAACGCCTCGCCTCAAAATCCGAAGACCGGGTCACCTCTGGCCGCCGCAGCAGGCCCTGCGAGGGGAGAGGAGCACCCCCACTGCGCCACAAGAAGAGGGGCCGCAAGAGCCGCCGCCATGAAGCCTGGGACCCCCTCCACCTCCACCCTCACATGAGCTGGACCAGCCGGAGCCGGCAGCAGGCACTACCGGCGCAGAAGCGCAGGATGGCGGGAGGGAGGCCGTAGGACGCGGTCGCTCGCCCAGATCTGGAGCCACGCAAACCCGCCAAATCTGGGCCAGATGTACGCGGAAGGGGCTGCCCGGAAGTACGCCGATGACACCTTGATCATCATGCGGGCGTGCGAGGAAGGGGCTGCCCGCCTCCGTTGGATTCTTGACATATTTGCTGATGCGACTGGGCTGAAGATCAACTTTACCAAGAGCACCCTGGTCCCGATCCATGTCGATGCTGCGGAGCTAGAGATGGTGGTCCATGCGCTCAGGTGCGTAGTTGGGTCCTTCCCCCAAACATACCTGGGTCTGCCTCTGTCATGGGAGAAACTGAGATTCGAAGATTTCCTCCCAATGATTGCGAAAGTGGAAAAATACCTTGCGGGCTGGGCGGCGCGCCTCCTCTCTCCTGCTGCTCGCCTGGTGTTGATTAACGCTGTCCTCGATGCCCTGCCAACATATGCCATGGCCACGCTGCTCCTTCCCCCGAAGCTGCTCCGTGCACTAGATGCCATGAGAAGAGATTTCCTATGGAATGTGGCCGAAAGGGCGTCGGGTGCACAATGTCTGGTGGCCTGGGATCGCGTGTGTCGCGCGAAATCTGAAGGTGGCCTCGGGGTCCGCAGCCTTGCCGTGCAAAATGACTGCCTCCTGCTGAAAATGATTCATAGACTGCATTGTTGGCCACGGTCGAGATGGGCTGCCTGGGTTTGGGATGAGGCTCACGGAAGTTCGCTCCTGACGCGTGGTGACCTCGCTCTGGGCGAACACCGAAGAGCCCTGACGAAGCTGATGCCTCTGTACCGTGATCTCTCCACGGTCACCGTGGGGGACGGGCGATCGGTCTCCTTCTGGTTCGACAACTGGCTGCCCTGCGGAACCCTTGCCGTGGCTTTCCCCGCCCTCTTCTCACATGCTGTCTCTCCTGAGATGACCGTATGGGAGGCTCGAGAAGAGGGACTGCCTAGACACCTCGTGCCGCGCCTCACGCGTGCGGGCGAAACCGAGCTCAGGGTGGTCCTGACGTTGATGGAGGCCCAGCCTGTGAGAGAAGAAGAGGGGGATGATCGGTCTCTCCTCCTCATCTCGACACCCCGCGACGTCCTGTCAACGGCAATGGCATACCGACTTATGAGGTTTGGTGGCTTGGTGGCCCCTTTTGCCGCCTCCATGTGGGAGACGAGGGCGCCGTCGCGCGTCAAGTTCTTTTGCTGGCTGATGGTGCAGAAACGTATCCATACAAGGGATGTCTTGCTGAAAAAACACATTCTAGAGCCTGATGGAGCAGGATGCCCCGTGTGTGAGGATGGGCTGGAAAGTGCAGATCATATGATCTTCTCCTGTCCGTTTGCAAGATCCTTCTGGGGACGGATCGGCGTTAACGTCGAGGGGGTGAGCGTGAGCTGCTTGGATCACCTGGCCTCGGTGGCGAGCTCGGTAGTCGATTCTGCTCCTGAATTCTCCATGCTATGCTGCTGGCACTTATGGAAGCACCGGAACGCGGTGGTGTTCCAGGGGCTGTGTCCCTCTCTCGCGCGGTTACTTGGGTCCTGTAAGGAGGACGCGCTGCTGTGGCGCGGGCGCCTGAAAAAATCCTGCCGCGCCCATGTTGAAAC